GGGGTCTGGAGGTGCGAGAATTCTCCAGGGTGGGGGATTTGGGGGTCCAGAGACCCCCCGAGGGGGATCCGGGGGTCTGGGGGCTACACAGAGTTGGGGGTGTTGGGATACAGAGACCACCCCCCCCACCCAGGAGGGGTCTGAGGGTGCGGGGACCCCCCAAAGGGGAGGGTGCGGGGGCGCAGGGACCCTCCCGTGGGGGGTCTGGGGGTGCAGGGACCACCCAGGGTGGGGATCTGATGGTTGGGGGGTGTGGAGACCCCTCATGTGGGGTCTGGGGGGTGCAGAGACCCCCGGAGTGGGGAAAACAGGAGCGAGGGTCTGCGGGGACCCCCCAAGAGGGAGAGTTAGGGGGTGCAGAGACCCCCTCCCCTCATGGTGGGACACATCCAGGGGTCCCAAACCCACCCCCTTGGAACCCACTGGGGGGTCCCACCCCACGCCCCTCACCCCAAAACCGCGGGGTTGGGCTGGAGGTGGCCAAAGCCCCCGTGGAGTGGCCGAGCTTGGGGGGTCCCCCCGAGGGTCGCGGTGGGACCCCCGCGGTGGGGGGAGGGGGTCCCGTGGGGCTGGGCCGTCCCCTTTAAGGCCCCGTGGGCGCAGCCGCTCACCTGTGCAGGTGACGGTGCCGCAGGTGGTGACGGTGCCGCGCGGGCGCCATGGCCGCCTCCGCCCTCTTCATCCTGGACCTCAAGGGGAAGGTGAGACCCCCGCCAGCACCCCAAAGCCCCCCGGGGGACACTCGCCTGTCCCCTGTGTCCCCAAAGGCCAGCCAAGGTCAGTGGCCGTGACCCCCGTGACCCCCAGGATTTTTTTGGGGGGGTTCTCCATGTGTGACCCCCCCCACCACCACCACCCCAAACCCTACCTGGGGTCACGCAGGTGTCCGAGCTGGGGGACACCCACCTGTCCCCTCTGTCCTTGAAGGTCACCCAAGGTCAGCGGCGGTGACCCCGGTGACCCCGAGGTGGGGTGAGCAGTTTGGGGGGGAGGGGGTGTCCCCATTTCTAACCCACCCCCCCCAAATCATCCCCCCCCAGCCTCTGATCAGCCGCAACTACAAGGGGGATGTGGGGCTGGGGGAGATCGAGAACTTCATGGGGGTCCTGCTGCAGCGGGAGGAGGAGGGGACCCTCACCCCCGTGCTGACCTACGGCCACGTGCACTTCCTGTGGATCAAACACGCCAACCTGTACCGTATCCTTCGGGACCCCCCGGGACCCCCCGGGACCACCCCCCAACCCCAGGAACCCCCTGGTGCCCCTTTCTCCTTAACTCCCCCCCCTCAGTGGTGGCCACCACCAAGAAGAACGGGAACGCGTCCTTGGTGTTCTCCTTCCTCTACAAGGTGGTGGAGGTGAGTTGAGGGGTCTGGGGGTCACCCTAATTTGGGGAGGGGGGGTCACAGAGGTGCTGGGTGCCCCCCTCCTCCCCCCAGGTGTTCTCGGAGTATTTCAAGGAGCTGGAGGAGGAAAGCATCCGCGACAACTTCGTCATCATCTACGAGCTGCTGGACGAGCTGATGGACTTCGGCTTCCCGCAGACCACGGACAGCAAAATCCTGCAGGAGTGAGTGTGGGGAGGGGTCCTGGGGGGCGCCGGGAACCCCCCCAGAGCCCCCCCTGACCCCCCCCAGCCCCGCAGGTACATCACCCAGGAGGGGAACAAGCTGGACACGGGCAGGTCACGCGTGCCCACCACGGTGACCAACGCCGTGTCCTGGCGCTCCGAGGGCATCCGCTACAAAAAGAACGAGGTGTTCATCGACGTCATCGAGTCCGTGAACCTGCTGGTGAGGGCACGGGGAGGGGGATTGGGGTGGGGTTTAGGATTGGGTAGGGAGGGGAATTGGGGTGGGGTGTGAGGGGGATTGGGGCTGGATAACGATGGGGACTGGGGTGGGCTGGGGATGAGGATGATGATGGTGACGGGGCTGGCAGTGAGCACGGGAATGAGGATGAGGATGGAGGTGGTGCCGGTGCCGGTGCCAGCTCCGAGCCGGGCCGTGCCCGCAGGTCAGTGCCAACGGCAGCGTGGTGCTCAGCGAGGTCGTGGGCACCATCAAGCTCAAAGTTTTCCTGTCGGGAATGCCCGAGCTGCGCCTGGGCCTCAACGACCGTGTCCTGTTCGAGCTGACGGGCCGTGAGTGCCGGGGGAGGGGGGCAGGGGTCCCCTGAGCCCCCCCCTGAGCCCCTCCCGAGCCCCCCAATCCCTTGCAGGGGGCAAGAACAAGTCGGTGGAGCTGGAGGACGTGAAGTTCCATCAGTGTGTCCGTCTGTCCCGCTTCGACAACGACCGCACCATCTCCTTCATCCCCCCCGACGGCGACTTCGAGCTCATGTCCTACCGCCTGCACACCCAGGTGGGCTCACCTGTGGGGCCGGGACCCCCACCTGGGCTCACCTGTGGGGCCGGGACCCTTCATTGAGGGGCTCTGACCGTTTTCTGTGGGGGTGTGACCCCTTCCCACGTGTCCACCACCTCCGTCCGTGTGTCCAGGACCCCTCCAGGTGTGCTGGGGACCCCCTGGGTAACCCCCAGGTGACCCCAGGGGTGACCCCCGTGCCTCCCCCAGGTGAAGCCGCTCATCTGGATCGAGTCCATCATCGAGAAATTCTCCCACAGCCGGGTGGAGATCATGGTCAAGGTGATCCTGGGGGTCCCCCGTGCCCCTCAGACCCCCCCACCCAGCCCCTGACAGCCCCCCGTGCCCCCCCCTGCAGGCCAAGGGCCAGTTCAAGAAGCAATCGGTGGCCAACGGGGTGGAGATCGCCGTGCCCGTGCCCAGCGACGCCGACTCGCCCAAGTTCAAAACCACGGTGGGCTCGGCCCGGTACCTGCCGGAACGCAACGTGGTCATCTGGAGCATCAAATCCTTCCCTGTGAGCATCCCCTGTGCCCCCCAACCCCGGGGGTGTCCCCCCCTGTCCCCCCCAGCCCGGGGGTGGCCGCGGGGGTCCCCACGAGCCGCTGCGGGGGTCGCAGGGGGGGAAGGAGCACCTGATGCGCGCTCACTTCGGGCTGCCCAGCGTGGAGAAGGAGGAGGAGGAGGGACGGCCGCCCATCGCCGTGCGCTTCGAGATCCCCTATTTCACCGTCTCGGGCATCCAGGTGCTGCGGGGAGGGGCTGGGGAGGGGTCTCGGGGGTCTCCGGGGGTCCTGGGAGAAGGGTTGGGGTATCGGGGAGGGGGTCCCGGCGAGTTTGGGGAGAGGGGAAGGGAGGGATGTGGGGGCTTCAGGGGGTTTGGGGACAGGATGGGGGTGGGACAGGCACTTTCCAGGAGGGGATCCTGGGGGTTTTGGGGGGGCTCTGGGGGGTTAATTGCCCACCTGTCCCCCCCCCAGGTGAGGTACATGAAGATCATCGAGAAAAGCGGGTACCAGGCACTGCCCTGGGTGCGCTACATCACCCAGAGCGGGGGTGAGTGATCTGGGGGACCCCCAAATTCCCCCGGGACCCCCAGCCTGGGCCCCCCACCTCACCTCCTCTCTGTCTCTCTCTCACAGATTATCAGATCCGCACCAGCTGAGGGGACCCCCATGGACCCCCCCATGGACCCCCCGACCCCCATGGACCCCCCGTCCCCCATGGACCCTCCCATGCCCCCCCCCCTCCTCTGGCCCAATAAAGATGGAGCTGAGACCCCCCTGTCCCGCTGGTCTGGGGGCTCTGGGAACAGAGTGGGGGGGGG